AGGATTTATGTATGAATATTGTCGAACAGTAAGGTTTTCTTTTATGAGTAAGAAAATTTTTTAAAATTATCTTTTAGGCTGGTATTACTTTATTTACAGTTTCACATCGAAAAAGTTTATGAAAATATCATGAAGTAAAGAGAATTCTTTAAATTTGAAAATATGAATTTTTATTTTGGTGTTTTTAGTATTGTTAATATATGGATGGTCGTGGAAATTATACATTTAAACAGATCGATGAACATACTTCTGAATTTGGATCTTAATAATATCGTGAGAAGATAAATTTATATGAAGCTTAAAAATACTATGTTCATCCCACTATTCGAAGAGTTGGTCATACAGTAAGGCTACTACCTGAGGTTTTTATGAATAAATTTTCTCGGTTCTCTATCAGTCTGAGAGAAAGTCCTTTACATATTTCGACGCAGAATTGAACGGACTATTGTTTTATACAATCATTTTTTTTTTGAATTCGGTAAAGGTAAAAACATTTAGCCAGAATACAGGTAAAATTACGATTTAGGATCATGTCAAAAACATCGTATTTTGAATTTTCGAATTCACATAGGGCTTTGAAAGAGAAACCATATGTACATTTTTGCAGAGCAAAACAAACTCGAATGGAAACAATCATTCATTGAATTATAATTAAATTAAGAAGATCTCTATTGAAAGATAAGTTTTGCATATATGTGTACATAGTATTCTATAATACACATATCGATTGTCTACTTTTATTATAGATAAAAGTCTTGCTGCCAACGCATATGAGTTTTATTTTATTTGAAAAACAAAATGATGAGTTACAGAAAAAGTCTTGTTAGATTAACCATGAAAGCAACGAGAATATCATGATAATTATTTATAAACATATAGCTACATCATCTTAGAAATAGTAATTAGCGCCAAAGACGAAATCTTGATATTTCAATATCGAATCGACTATTTGGAAAACGTCTTTGAACCATTAAACGATAAGATTCAACTTTTTCATATCGAATTCTACCATAAATATTCAAATAGACAAGTTGTTTTAATCGTTTTATTAATTGACAGAGATCTTCTTCAAAAATAATTACGTGTTGATCTAAACGAGAAATGTTTATCTTCCCTGATGAGGCTATTTAATTAACGTACTAATCGATTCATGTGTTAATAAAGTTCTGTGCCAGTGTATAATCAAACTTCCATACGATGATCGTTTAAAATACGGTCGAACTTAAAATAAAAGACAAAAAGAAGACAATTAGTATGAAACAGAAGTTTTTCAATTGAATATAAAGCATGGGATAAAAGTTCGCTTCATTTTTCCTATCGATGTATTTTTACAACTGTTTGAGCAATTTCAATCAGTAAATAGTCATTTTAAAGAGCATTTAAAAGTGTACTTACTGTGTAAAAATAAAGGTTCTAGCTAAAGAACTAAGAGAGTTAGTAACAAAAGTTTGTTACATGTGTTTTTGGTTCTCACAAAATAATGGGTGGAGCAGATTACACGGTCGTATTTGGCATTTCAATTTTTCTTCACTCAATATGTTATATTAAAAAGCAAAATATGTCACAAGATGCAGCATGAAAAGCTCTACAATCTGCAAACTACAGCTCATTTTAATTGTGCACTTTTTGTTTTAAAAAAAAGCAAAATTCTCTGCAACCGATTTTCGACGCTATGAAAATATCGTTGTTTTTCGACACATATAATTCATTTCATTTTTTTCATTATCTAATGCATGTTATTAAAAAAATAAAATATACCACAAGATGGAGCGTGAAAAGCTCTACAAGCTCTACAATTGATAAAGAAACATTTGTTAAAATTGCTCGCGTAGCTGCAAAAATATATTGATATGTCGCGAACTTTTGTCCCATATATTATTGTTCTTTTATTAACACGAAATGATTCTTATTCATGTTTGTTTTTTTAAATCAAACAATTGTATTTGATAAATAGTCTTAAATAAAACAACATTCATTTAATATGTCTTTTTTTTATAGGTTTTTAACTAAGACTTTAATTATTACCTAATGAATTCAAGCAAGTTCAAGAGAAAAACACAAAAGTTTTTTATTACTAATTCAGAAAATTCTTCTTTTCAATGAAAAGATAATGAATATAAATTTAAGGGGGGTCCCCTCTCCATGACATATCTTCAAAATGTGCCAGTTTGTAGAGAATACCTCCAAATACTAGAATATCACAATATCTTTTGGGTTTGATCAGATTATAATTGTAATATGAAAGATGGAAAGTTCATAAAAATCGAATTTTTCGCATTAAATTGTAATAGTAGCACAAAGTACCTCTTACCGAGTCCCATTTTTTAAAAGCACGTCTCGAAAAATTTTGGCTCGTAAAAACTTGTTCACTGGGCTTACCTGTACGGGGTGGCATATTTTTCTTTTAGAAAAAATGTCGTTTTGCTAGACGCGGAGCCTTCAATATGCTTCTGAAGGCGAAACCCATATACCATAAAAAATAGAGGTGTTTTTAGAACATTCGGTTGTACCTCTTAATAATATTATTTTTCAATGAAACTTTGTGTGTATAAGTGGCTACGTATTAGATATATTGTTTCCAAATTACAAGCCAATTGGACGTTGTCTTGAAGAAATATTCAAAAAATACTGAACAAGTGGTTTTACTGCGAATTAAAGCATGCAAAAATTACTGAAAATATCGATACTTTAGCATTAAAATCTGTTTGTTTTTCTTTAAAAAACAATGACGGATCATTTTGTTATTAATACTATGTGTAACTAGAAATACATGCGGACACCTCGGATTTAAATCCGAGAGTTATGTGTACTTCAAAAAGTGAAAGGAACAGATGAGTCATCCTAGAATGTGTGGACATCAAAGTTATCCTGGCAAATCTTTTCTATAATACGCTTGATTTCTATTGGTTACTGCTCAACCAATGGGATTTTGAGGCAAGAGGAGTACAGATTCGAGTTCTCCGCTCTAGAAAACCTCGAGCTATCATCTCTTTGATCGAAAGACAGAGCTCTAATTGTGGATAAATTAGAGTGTGGCCACAAACAGAACCAATTCCCGTTTAATTATTTCTACAATAGGTGAGTTAGTCTTCTTATCTCTTTATGTTTTATATACCATTTTGTAGCTCGTGAAATTCTCTATCGAATGGTATATAATAGTCGGGGTTTCATTTGACCATGATCGGAAAAGTTTTTTACGGAAGCGGGGATAGGTCGATTTTCGTATAGGAAGGCATAGGGGAAAATGACTATTTTTGCAATAACTCAGGAACGGTTCGGCCAATCTTTCTCATCTTCTTCTCTCGACCGAGATATTGTTAAGACTGAACTGTGTAGAAAATTTCATCGCGATCGAATTCTCCTTTCAAAAGTTCTCGTGTAAACGGTGGGACGGACGGACACACTGACCGATTCTAGAGTGTACTCACTTTTTGAGTAAAAAAAAAATGGGACTCGGTAAGAGGTACTTTGTGCTACTTTTTGCTACTATTATAATTTAATGCGAAAAATTCGATTTTTATGAACTTTCCATCTTTCATATTACAATTATAATCTGATCAAACCCAAAAGACATTGTGATATTCTAGTATTTGGAGGTATTCTCTACACACTGACACATTTTGAAGATATGTCATGGAAGGGGGACCCCGGCGTTAAGATGAGATTTTCACGACTTCTCTCGAAACTCAAATAATCAAGATCAAAGGTTAGTAGTCAACGTATACACAAAAAGCTTTCTTCTATTTTTACAAACCATGATCTAAGACAATTAAGGACTAGAGCCTGACGGATCCAAAAGTTTTGAACGTGAACTCTTATTCGGTTCATATTCATAATATTCTCGATGACATTTCTTAATCTGAACTTAATAAACATCTAAATGGTATAATTCTTCGATTATTTTTCTTCACAGACTATCATCGTATCAAATTAAAGTCATAATTTGCTGTTAGTCTGTCAGATTCTGAGTTTCCAATTGTCTTGAAAAGTGGGAAATAAAATAAAAATCTTTTTCTTTAATAACTAGTTCGAATTAATTGTATTTTGTTTAGCAGAATAAACTTACTGGATGTCCAAGGAAAATCATCCGGTCTCCAAAGACATAATGTCTGTAAATGAGGCATATAAGTACTAAGAAGTGGTACAAGATATTTTCCGATATGAACTGATTCATTATAACCAACATTGCAACTTGAAATACGAAATTCAGCATGACGAATAGTACGTAATGCATTTTTTAACGAGATATCAAAAGCCTAAAAATGATATGAAAAAAAAAAAAGATAATTTTCAAACAATTTTCTTATTGAATTGTTGGATTTTAATACATACATTAAGATTTACAAAAAAAAATCGTAACTTTTAAAAATATACGTATTTGAAAACTCGAAATAAAATTAATACTTACATATCGTATAATATATAAGAACCATTCAAATCTGTCAATAAAAATATATTTCAGTTGTACAGTCATCGAAATAATACTAGAAAATACTATTGCAAGTGCTTTGTCTTCTTCTATTAATTCATCACAAGGGTCTAGAAAAATAAATTTTTTTTTTCAATGTTTTATAAAACATTAATATGAATAAAAATTCATAGTTTGACACAATGGGAGAAAAAAGCACATTTACATTTGCATTTCGATAGTAATCATTTATCATCACTAGAGAATGATCTTATCGGGAGGAGGGGTTTCGAAAATTTTGTTATACAATAATAAAACTTTTTCTTAAAAAAAAACCTCATACTTTGAAATGTAAAGGAGAAAACATAACTTTTATTAAAATCCTAATATTAGAATAAAATAGTAATTCAAACAAATAAATTCCACAAACAAAGAGCGAATAGTAGTTTTAAAATTATGAGCAAGCTCTTCTAATTGTTCTAGTAGTGTTAGCTATCCTGAGAATATGCTTGTAATCTCATCCTCATCTTCATCTTCAAGATAGAGAATATGACTCAACTTTCTAAAACGGACATCACCATTTCGTGAACACTTTTCAATGGTTCTGATAATATGTTTTACTGTATAATGAACTTGAACGATTCAAGAATATCAAAGATGAAAAAAGAAAAGATTTTGCTATAACTGTATCAATTTTGGAAAAAAGAAAAATGTGTACATACCTATTGTACGACTATAACTACTTCCAAATCGAAGTTTTGTAACATTTCGAAAAGGAATATTATTCAGATTTGGTTTTTGTATGACGAATAATTCTGTCAATGATGCCAACATCTTCGATTTGTTTCTGTAATTTCCTGCAAAAAAGAAAATTTATTCATTTCTAATAATTATTATTTGACTTTTTTTTTTCTATCAGACTTCACTAAAATCAAGATAATCAAAAAAAACTTTTTCAATCAATTTGTGTTTTCTGTATATACAGATATGTTACATACAATTTTTTAATATTGATTAAACTCTATTGTTAAATCTATATATAAAAGAATCTAAATGTCATTTTAAATTATCGATTAGACTCTGATTTTAGGTGCAAGATACTTTGTTAGTCAGTCGTCTATATTTCTAATAACTTGTATAGGGATATAGAGCCGACAAAAATCAGGGAGGGCGGACAGACGATCTTCAAAAGTTTTTAAACAATTTGAATATTTTTGAGAAATCATCGAGTAAAAAAAAGAAGAAATTTTCAAGAGTTGAGAGGTCATCTTCCGATTCCTCCCCATCCGGGATATCCCTGAACTTGTATACAGAAATGAACTAATATGACAATTAAAGTTAATCATCTTAACGGTGAAATTTTCATTATAATATTAGTAAAAAAAGTACATTAATCTATGTATTCAAAATTCTCACATTGCCTTTATTTCCATCATTATTAAATTCTTTACAATCGATTGTTCTATTTCTGAGAAAATTCAGATAATTGATTAAACCAATTGTAAGAAAGCCAATATTACTAAATGAATGATAGGAGTTTCGTGGAAAAACTTTATTTAAAAAATAATCAAATTTTTTTCTTGTGGCATTTATCTACGAATTTTAAAATCAATGATTAAAACGTCTATTAAAAAAAACATCTACTCGTGATTATAACTCTCAGTCAGATGACGTTCACAGTAAAAGAGAATCAATTGAAGTATATTCATTGATTAGAATTGTTTTCTGAAATCATTCAGAGAAGCTGTTAGCACATTCTATCTAGGATTGAAATGTGAAACATGAAATAACTATTCCTATTGATAGAGATATGATTTTATGAAATCGATTTCAATCAATACTATATATCGTCGATATTCTTTTCGATTCATTATGAAAAGATCTTTTCCATACGATTTCAAACACATGAATTCTTGTTGGTTTTACCATATACAATAAATTTCATTTTTGAAGTTTTGTCTATTATAATCTATGGAACATGGCTACAAATTTTCACCTCTGTACTTCAATAATCATTTTAGTTCGTGTATCACAAAACTATTGAAAATTGTCAAGACAATTCCTTTGAGAACAAAATACTCGAGATGTGATAATGCTCTTACAGATGGTGCTACCTTTCCAATTATAATCTGAGTTCGATTTCATATTATGTTTCTCCACTATAATTGCTGGCCAACGCACTTCTTATCTCCGACTGCCATGAGAATATACCTATTGAATCCTGTTAACTTCTTTAACAATCTTTCTCTCACATCATATCCTCAATCATTAGCAAATTTCTCCAGTCCAAAACTACAATATAAACTTCCAAGTTAAATCTACTTGTTTATTTCTGTCTTTCCTAGTAAAATATATGAATTTAAAAAAACAAAAACAATCTTTACCTTCATTAATTGTAATATCAGAAACATTAGTACATAATTTATCAAATTGTTCAAGAAATACATAAACTGATGAATCTAAATAAATACTAATATCTTTAGTAGTAGGTGACCAATCATATACACATGGATAATTACTAAATAAAAAAAAATAAATAACAAAATTAACTTTTCATAAATAACATATTTTACATTAAAAGATCGCAATATTGAAATTTGTTGAGATTTGAAGAAAAAATATGTTGATATGATAGACATTCATCATAAAAACATTTAACATTTGTCCATTGATGTGAAATAAAAAATGAATCAATTTTAAATGAATTTATTATTTTCTCGATATTATTTAATGATAATTGACATTCTGCACGAATATAAAAATAAAAATCTCTTAAATTAATTATTTTATCAGGCAAACAATATTGACGAATAAAATTTGCATCAATAAAAGATTTCCGTATTCTCTGCTCTTTTCTCCATATTCTAATACTGTATAAATGAATTTCAAGTTTTATAACATGATTAATGTTGTTAAGAAGCCATTTTAAATAAGCAAATTCCAAATCATTGTAAGCAGAGCTCTTCAAGGTAAAACATTTCAATTTTGGCACCTATATTATAAATAATCAATTACAATAATAAAACATATTGAAAATAATCTAACTCCAGTAAAACTTCTATATATAGGCATACCTATAACAAGAACACTTCGTTTATATGAGCACTCGGTTGAACGACCGATCGATTTTTACTGAAAGTGAGTCTTTCTAACAAGCGCCTCTCCCACCCAGGGGCATAGCCAGGAATTTTCCTAAGAGGAGTGGCACTCACAAAAACAAAATCTTTGACCCTGCAAACAATTCTATAGTGCTGTATTCTTCTCCATACATTTTCCCTATCGAGGATGCTCAGGCCCTTTGGACACCCTACCTAACTTCGCCTCTGACCCGGACCGGGTCATTAAAAGAAATTTTCGACATCGGATCAGATCAGAAAAAATTTCATCCATGTTGATCTCTGACACAAACTATATTACATTAACATATATCTGTACAAGATGATGATTGAGAAAAGAAAAAAAGTCGATTCTTTTCGAATCAAAGGACAAATGTGTAATTTCACTTATCCTTTAATCATATTTTACCATATATAATTTGATGTTAAATACTACTTCATATTTTGCTAGAAATGAAATGAAACATCGTTTTTTCCCTCTCAACTGGGTTCGATAATCTACAACTTCTTCATAACTTGGAACATATTAATCAAAAAAACGATACATTCACCTTCAGAAATCGAGATCATATTGAATTCTAATTAAATATGTTTCAATATCAACAAGCATTTTTATTGGAAAATATTTAATTTAATTTTTCAAATCATTTATTTATCCTTATTGACTCAGTTATTGGTTGTTTTAAAAATCTTTAATATACATTAACATTTACGTACGACATTAGATTTAACCAAAGAATTTTTTTTATACAATAAACGAATGAAATAATATTATATTTATCTTACTTTGTTAAACCAATTTCCATCTGTTAGTATCGGACTTTGAATATTTTCATCATAAGATTCATCATCACGTTTCAAATTTTCTAAATGAACTGATAATTGTTCAAGATTTGGTACATATTCAATGAGATCTTCAAGAAAACATGTGTAATCGAGACGAATATACAAATCACGTAGAGTTACACAATAAGATTTATATCCATCTAGAACTGTGTTTAATGGAAGATGAG